CCCTGAGTACCTCTGACTGGATTCTGCAAACCCCTCAACACTGCACAGATGCAAAGCTGAACTCATCTCCTGAAATGAGCTCCTGCTTCTCTGCATCCCCTCTCTAGTGACTGGGAAGATTATTTATCCACCCAGCTGCCCAAGTGGTAAAGCAAAGTCACCTTTGACTCCTCCCTCTCCCCAGATTTAATCAGCTTTATTAACACAACCTACCAGAATACACATCTTTAGAATCTTTCTATCTTCTATCTTCTCTCATCAGCCCACCAGACTCTGTTCTCTCTGCCCCGCCTGTGGCTGCCCTCCTGCCTCCATCTCAATTTGCCTGTCCATTAGAATGTCCTGGGGTGAGAGGATGAGGGGGCTTTAAAAATACACATTTCTTAAAACAAAAAAATAACAGGTTTCTGACACTCATGCTAGATCTTCTGAATCTGACCCTCTGGGGAGGGGACCCAAGAAAGTGTACATTCAGAAACACCGTGACTGATTTTTTTTTCAGCGGAGACAGGAACAGCATTTGAGAACCACTACTCCATGACCAAGAGTAACCCCTCCTCTTCCCTCCCACAGCAGTGAGAAGCACGCCTGCCCTGGGCCCCAGATCCTCACCTCCTACAGTTCCTCACAATTCAGCCCTATCACTCATTCCTGCCTGTATTTTCAACCACATCCTTCCCATGGTTTTTCCCAACACCTTTTTAAACAAGCTAAGCCTCCTCTCAACTTAAAGAAATTCTCCCTTACACCTGTGGCCACCTCTAAGCACAACTCCCTCTCTTGATTCTCATAACGAAGATTTTGAAAGCACTTTCCAAGCTCACTGTCTCCACTTATGTCCTGCCCATTCCTCAGCCAATTATAATCTGACTTCTCTCCCCAACTACTGGACAAGCTATTCCAGAAAGGTTCTGGGCTGGGGGGCTCTTTCTTTCCCACAGGCCACTCTTCAGGCCTGTTTTGAAAATGTCTGCAGTGTGTAACGCTATCAGCCACTCTACTCTGAAATTCTCTCCTCCCGGGTGTCTCGTTACTTCCTTGGCCATTCCTCAGTCTTCTTCCCTGGCACCTGCTTTTTTCCCCACCTTAAAGTTTGAAATGTTCACAAATTATGTCCCCAGTTCTTGTCTCACCTTCCACTATCCTCTGAAAGACTTCACCACACACCTCTTAGGAATAGCTCACTCCAGTCATAACCATCCCTAATTCATTCCCTCCTACCTCTTTGCCAAGCCCTGTCCAGGCTCTGTCCCTCTGAGGCCTTCTCCACCCTATGATGTCTGCCAAACTTTCAAAAGTCAGCCCAAATATTGCTACATTGGGAAGTCTTCCTCAACTGTGCCCCCCCTTCCACAACCAGCCCACTTCCTGCAATAAACCCATAGCACCGAGCACAGACATTCTTTTTAAAACAGTTTTGCACAATAGACACTGAACTCCTTAAGGGCAGGAACTTTATCTGGAAAATATTAGACATGCAATCAATGTTGGCTGCATCCATCGTTACACAGCGAACACACTGTGGGGTGAACTGGAGCTTATTAATAAATGATATATACATTACACAACGTAGAGCTCAGTGACAGCATTGGTCAATAAGCAAGGAATCTAAAGTGCGTCATGACCACTAATCCTATGCACTTCTACCTGCTCATAATTGCGCGACTGGGCAGATAGCAATATAGTTTCAAGCACTTGAAACAGGCACAGTAGAATGTTTTCAACCGTACTGTGTCTGAAACTGTATTGCTGTCCCTTTCTTCAAAATGAAGAGTTTTCAACAAACTCTGATATGGCTGGCTCCTTCACACCATTTGGGTCTCAGTACAAATGTCACCTTCCTGGCTACCCTCTGTAACCATGCATGCTAAAGTGGTCCTCCACCATAACTTTGGTCTTTACAGTTCCCCTCTCATTGTCTTCATGTTACTTATCACTATGTGAATCATGCTGACTTGTTAGCCTGTCTGATGCTGGTCACCTTTATCCTCCTCATTACTTTATCCTCTGTATATCAACAGTGTGTGGCTGATATGCATACTCAACAGGCACTCGCTGAATGGATGAGAGAGAAAAGCAAGTTTAACACTAAAACACTATTATCTAATAACCACAAAACATGAGAAACATGCAGGTAGTAGGAAATAGCAGAGATTTCTCCCTGGAAGGGACTGTTATTCACCACCCATGGGGGGCGCACACGGATCATCCTTCTTTTAGATACTTACTCAGGATCAGAATCTTTTTTTTTTTTTTTTTTTTTTTTTTTTTTTTTTTTTTGTTTTTTTTTTTTTTTTTTTTGTTTTTTTTTTTTTGAGACGGAGTTTCGCTCTTGTTACCCAGGCTGGAGTGCAATGGCGCGACCTCGGCTCACCGCAACCTCCACCTCCTGGGTTCAGGCAATTCTGCCTCAGCCTCCCGAGTAGCCGGGACTACAGGCATGTGCCACCATGCCCAGCTAATATTTTGTATTTTTAGTAGAGACGGGGTTTCACCGTGTTGACCAGGATGGTCTCGATCTCTTGACCTCGTGATCCACCCGCCTCGGCCTCCCAAAGTGCTGGGATTACAGGCGTGAGCCACTGCGCCCAGCCAGAATCTTGATTTATTAAAGGGTGCCTCAGCTTATCTAAAGGAAATCATGGGTGGCTCACGCCTGTAATCCCAATACTTTGGGAGGCATAGGCAGAGGATCACTTGAGGTCAGGACATCAAGACCATGCTGGCCAACATGGCGAAACACTGTCTCTACTGAAAATACAAAAATCAGCCGGATTTGATGTCAGGCGCCTGTAATCCCAGGTACTCAGGAGGCTGAGGCACAAGAATCGCTTGAACTCCGGTGGCAGTGGTTGCAATAAGCCGAGATCTGCCACTGCACTCCAGCCTGGGTGACAGGGCAAGACTCCACCTCAATAAATAAATAAAAAGAATAAAATAAAGGAAATCCCCCTCAGTGGGGAGCTTCTCCAGAGAAAAAAATTTAAAGCTGACGCACAGCCTTTTCTAATGACCAGTCCTAGAAAACTATGCCTAAACTCCACTGTCAGCACCACATGCTCTGAGGCCAGGAACTGTTCACTGCTGCGTTCCCGGCACCTAGCCCACTTCATGGTCCAGAGAAGATGCCCAAAAATGTTTGTAAAAAGAGCATGTAAAACACAGTCTTCTGAGGAACTGCCATCCCAACAACTCTTTTTTTTGAGTCAAGAGTTTAGGTCTTCCTGCCCAGACTGGAGTGCAATGGTGTGATCTCAGCTCACGGCAACCTCCGCCTCCCGGGTTCAAGCAATTCTCCTGCCTCAGCCTCCCAAGTAGCTGGGATTACAGGTGTGCACCACGCCCAGCTAATTTTGTATTTTTAGTAGAGATGGGGCTTCTCCATGTTGGTCAGGCTGGTCTCGAACTCCTGACCTCAGATGATCTGCCCACCTTGGCCTCCCAAAGTGCTGGAATTACAGGCCTGAGCCACTGAGCCCAGCCCCAACAACTCTTACACTGCAGAAGCACTTAATTTTAGAAATAGGCCAAGACAGCTGCAGAGGGGATCCAGGCCTAGGCCTCTCCCTGGGCAACAATTTGGTTCCTAAAATTCAACACTCACCACCATGTGCCATAGATAATTATCTTCCACACAGTCACCCTGTATCAACTTTGAATACACATGGCCAATATAATCTCACGGCTAGTACAGTACAGCAACCAATAACAGACTCCCTTTTTAATTTTTTATATGTACTTTGGCCAGCAAGGATAGATCAAAATGCTAAAAGAACAACTGAAATTGAAGAATTCTATGACGAATTTCATAACCACCAGTTCCTGGCTCACTGTGTGATCCCAGGACAACCACACCACCTTCTTGAACTGTCAGCTTCAACTACAGTCATAAGGTTCTTTATCTAAAGGGTTATTTGGGGAAGATTAATTAGTTAGTAGAGGTAACATACTCTGGGACCAATGCATGAAAGATGCCATGAATCAAATTAATTATGAAACAAAGGAAATCATAAATATTGAAACCACTTCAAAACCTGAGAAGTTGAGAAGTGAGGAAAATTTAAAATTATGCCTGTGGCTCTGATACTAACTCACTGTTAGACTATAAGACAAGATACGTATTCTCAGAAGATTCATGACATTGCCAACAGATCTTTAGTATTTGGAAATATCAGATGTTTCTGTTCTCCAACAGCATTAATTTCACATGGAGTATGAACAGTGACATATGGAAATCGCAAAATTAGAGCTGTTTTCCGTTGCTGTACCCGTGCCGGTTAACACGCAGTCTACCTTACCGAAAGTCAATTCCACACACTCTGGGTCAAAGAGAAAAGCCGTTTAACTGGCTGTAAAAACACTTCTCCGCCCGCTACCTGCTGCCCCCTCCCCCGAGGAAAACACGCCAGGAAAACAGCAATAACCAGCAGCACAGCTGCGCTCCCACGCCACGACTTCCTAACTTCCCTCCACTTGAAAGCACTCTCATCAGTGTTTGTCTAAAAACTCTTCTTGGAGCCTGGAGAAGAAACACATCCAAGTGAAACTGAGAGGTCAGCTTCCAAAGCGGAGGCTGAACTTTGCAGGTGGGGGCGGGGGGCACTCAGTTCCGTCCCCCGGGAGCTTAAATGAATGGGGCAAGGTGAGGGGGACGGCCCCTTCCTTCAGCGCTGCACTCACGCCGCAAAGGGCCTGGGGCCGGCCCACGAGAACACCAGGGCACTGGCCCACTTGCAGCGGCCCCAAGAGACTCCTGATCATTGCACCTGGGGACACCAGGTAGGGTCGGGGCCGGCGGTCCCCATTCGCCCCTCCAGGCCGAAGTGAGGGCGGTTTCCGCTGACCCCCTAGGCCAGGAACTAGCAGGGTTCGGGCGCGGGTCTGGAGGGTCGGCCCCACCACCTCCGGCAAACCCGAGGGTCCCCGCTGCCACAGCCTCTTCAAGGAGGTGCCCAGCGTGGCGTGTAGGGGCAGCCAGGACGGCGGCGGCCAGTACTCACAGAGCCCACTGGAGCCGGTGCTGGTGAACATGGTCCCGTCGGGCTCTGAGCCCCCGCGGGGACCAGGGGGAGGGGAAGCTGAGGTGGGAGCCCAGGCGACCGCGCAGGCGCACCCCCGGCGGGGCGGTGAATCCGGCGCCGCGAGGCCACTCGCCGCTGACGAATAACGCATGCGCAGCCAGGGGCGTGCGCCCCTTGGGTCAGCGCCCTTCTTCCTGCCGGGGAAGGGAAGTGCGTCCGGAGGGGAGGGGCCAGCTCTTCAGGTAGAAACGACGGCTGCCAGAGCCGCGTGAGGTAAAAAGGGATGGCTCTCAGGCGGCGGAGGTGTAGCTCCCGGGAGCCTCACGTTTGTGTCCAGTGCCACCTCACACCTGGTGGTTACGCAAATGGCTGCGGATTCTTCTGGATTTTCGGCGCTGGACATGAGCGCAGCCTCAAACCTCTCCCGAGACTGGACGCCCGGCGCCTTCCACGCGCGTTCTTTCTTTTCGGGCGGTCCCTTGAAGCAGGCTCCCCGCGGGCTTTTGGCTGCAGTGGGGCCTGTCTCGGGTTCCGGTGTCCAGCGGAGTCAGAGGTCACGCAGATGCTGATGGAGGGGTGCAGGAGCCGGAGAGGTGGAACAGGTCCTTCCGGATACAGAGAGCCGGGCGGTCCAACAGCCTTTGTTCTCTCGTGGGTCCCGCCCGGAATCCACACCACCGGAGCCGAGTGTCGTGGGCCCGGGAGTCAGCATCCTGCCCTCCCCCTGTGGTGGCGGGCGGCTGGGGGTCCCAGGCGCGGCGAGCTCGGCAGAGCGACCCTGTCCTTGTGCCCCGCGAGCTTCCGGACTCAGGCCATTTAATATTTTTACCCCAGCAGAATGACTTACTCTTTACCAAAGTCGCGGTTTTTAAATGACTGTTAGCCTGAAAACATGCAGTCGTTTTAAAAAGTTTTTTTAAGTTGATCTCATACTCTTTTACAGAGGAGAGTTAGTGGGGAGGGAGATGGGGAGAGCTTGGCCAACAGGTACAAAGTTACAGTTAGGAGGAATATGTTTTGGTGTTCTCTTGCACATTCGGATAACTATACTCAACAGTAATGTTGACTCAAAATAGCTAGAGAAGATGATGTTGGATGTTCTCACCACAAAGAAATGACAAGTGTTTCAGTGATGGATGTGCTAATTACCCTGATTAGATGGTTACGCAATGTTTATATGTATGGAAACATCACACTGTACCCCAGAAATACATACAATTACATGAGAATGCATATTATGGGGAAATTGACTCCACCACGGACCTAAATGAAAGGGATAGGCTATGCGGTACTTTAAAAAAAAAAAAAAAAAAAAAAACTTTTTGAGCTCGTAAGTGCCATACTAAATCTGAGATTCGTAGATCAACACAGCCCCTGCCCTCAGAGAGGTTCCAGTGGGCCAAAATGTTAACGTTCGTTATTTTTAGAAGGCAAAAGTATGCCTTTTATTTGCTTCTTTAGGCCTTATTCGTAAAGTTCATTTTCACAGTCTTTTTTATTTGTTTGTTTTTAGACGGAGTCTTACTCTGTCTCCCAGGCTGGAGTGCAGTGGCACAGTCTGGGCTCATGGCAACCTCCGCCTCCTGGGTTCAAGCGATTCTCCTGTCTCAGCCTCCCAAGTAGCTGGGACTACAGGCACCTGACACCATGCCTGGCTAATTTTTGTATTTTTGGTAGAGGCAAGGTTTCACCATGTTGGTCAGCATGGTCTCGAACTCCTGATCTTATGTGATCTGCCTGCCTCAGCCTCCCAAGTGTTGGAATTACAGGTTTGAGCCACCGTGCCCAGCCCATTTCACAATCTGCAAGTACATTTTACATTTACCTTTAGGTTTGTTCGAGTTGTTTTTCAGGAAAACAACAGTCAAAACATCCTTTATGGTTTGCAGAATCTGTTGGTTGGCTACACCCCTACACATTAAGGTGAAGCAAAGTGCAAAACTATTTTCGTAATAATGCTAAGACATTAGTTTCTACTCTTACAAGTGTAGGGCTGTTGGCCCCACAGGGTTGTGGGGTATCCCTTATGCTGTGCTGAGATGCAGGATCTGAGAAGTAAAGAGACAGGACACTGAAGAACTGGAGAAGAGCAGCTGGCCTTCAGGAGCCATGCCACCTATGAGCAGAGACAGGCGAGGCCTCGAATGTCCAGAAATGTCTGTATTTATTGGGTACAAGGCAGGGGGCAGGGTCATGAGTGAGGTCATCTATAGGCTTAATGATAGGGCATACATAATTACGTAACAGGCAAGGGGGCCACCCCATTAAGTCACCTAGGCAGAGAGGTGGGCCTGCGCAGTAGGGGGCCATGCTGTGCTCAGCAGTAGAGGGTCGTGTACTGCTACGACCCTCTACTGCTGAGGGTCCACCCCCATTAGGTCACCGAGGCATGGAGGTAGGCTCTGTGCAACAGGTGTCGTGCACAACACTTCTTATCTGGGGCCTGGAGACTTCAAAGGATTCTTATAGAAAAACACTGTGAACAAATGCAGTGGGAGGTGACAGACTTGTGCTCTTCTCTAAGATATTTATGGAAGGATGATTTGAGCTAGCACAGAAGCGAGAAAAGGCTGACAGGGTGTACAGCCGCTGTGACCCGGTCATACCAGAGGAGTTCTTTTCCCTCAGTTATTTGTGGGATCTCAGGCCTGAGGCCTACTTTCCACAGGAACTGGATGCAAGGTACTACAACTCCTTTTTCAGAAGAGGCTCTTGCTCCAAGCCTGCCATACAGTGTATGCCCTTTCAGGCAGGGACACCACCACCTGGATTTTTGGTTCTTGTCCTGCTCTGGCTGTTTTCCCATGTACTGCTTCTGCTTTGTGACTGCTCTAGGCATTCCTCCTAGTACAAACTGCTATATAGTTATATAGAAGGATTATGTAAATCAGTACTAAATGTGTCGGTACAGCTCCGACTACAATACCTGTATGATTATATACAAAGATTATATGGGACTAAGTACGATAGATATAAGTACTAAGTATGATTATATAAGCTAGATATATGTAAGCAGTAAGTTATACTTCAAGCACTAATTCTGTAAACTAATATATGATTTTATGTAAAAGATTATATAAAGGAAATAACTGAGTAATAATGCTATAAACTAAGATATTATTCAGGCACTAATTGTGCCTGAGGTTTGCACAGCTCTCCTTCCTTTGTGCCCATGTGAGAGGTTACCCCCACACAAGTATACACTAGAGTTTTCCACTGTACAGTTGGAAGAGCTACATAACTGGATTTTCCAGTTGACTGCTGCATAATGTTATGAAATCTTATATGGGTAAAAGATCAATTTGAACCGTAAAATAAACCAATAAACTTTAGTGTAAGAGTCCAAAATATTCATTCATACAGTTTCAGATTCCTCATGGCAGCTAACCTTTAAGAAACTACCACTTGCTAAGTTATGGTATAGTATCAAAAAATAATGTATCAGCTGAAAGGTTAAAATGCTTCTTTTTCCAGCCACTGGGTGTACCTGTGTGAGGCCAGGTTTTCCTCTTTTGCTTGAACCAAAGCAATGTATTGCAACAAACTGAAAGCTAGACATTAAAGACATTTGCCCACCAGATACAGTGGCTCAGGCCGGTAATTCTGGCACTTTGGGAGGCATCCCAGGTAATTTGTGTGCAGCTTAAAGTCTGAAATGCCCTAGTGCAATGATTCTCAGGGGGACAGTTTTGACTTCTAGGGGGCAATATCTGTAGACATTTTTGGACATCACAATGTGGTGGGGGGATGCTACTAATATCTAACGGGCTAAGGCCAGGGTGCTGCTAAACATCCAGCAATACCAGGCCAACCTCTCCTTGGGCCCCTCCCACAGTAGAGAATTATCCCACCTGAATTGTCAGTAGTGCAGAGGTGGAGGAAGCCCTACACTGTGTAATTCATCCGACCTTTACTATGAAGTTCCTGAAACTCCTGGTGTATATCATTTCTGTTGCCCTGGCTGATATTTCTACCTTTTCTCTTTTTTTTTAGATTTTATTATGAAGAACTCATTCTGTTGATCCCTAGGAATCACCTATTGCCTTGCTGTTTTGTTGAATCTGTTTTTGAATCTGCTTTCTACATTGGAAAGGTAGGAGTATGTTTGTAAGCCTTAGAAGCTATGTACACTATGAAGAAATCACCAGACACTTGGATAAGCTTTGCAGAGGTGAAGGGCTGTCTCCACCAGAGAGACCCAGAAGGAGTCAGAGTAAGCCTGACTCATGAGATCAGGCATCACCAATCCACAGCCAACTTCCACAGTTCATCTTCCTAGGTAACCGCTCTGCATTCCCAGGTAGAGTAAGAATAATATCAGAACTTACAGCATATTTTGAGGTCAAATTTATAGAATTTGGTGATTTCATTTTTATTATTACCCTTTTATTTACAACCAAATTAATAAGGCTACCTACACATAACAATGTGTGGACATACACATTAAAAGAATCATTTGCTGCCCAGCACTCCTACCTTGGTACTTTTAAGAACATCATTGAGTGGATAAGTTACCCACTCCCTCTGCTGAGTAAACTATTTTGCCACAATATCAGCTGCAATGGTACATCTTCCAGACTGTAATGGCAGAAGTGGTTATCTGCTCTTCTGTGCTGACATCACACTTGATGTACACCTACTTTATAAAACTTAAACTATTGTCTCAGTTATTCAGTTTCTGTCTTCTACTGTGAAAGAGTGAGCCCATAAAAAATGGAATGTATTTTACAAAATGTATCCTGCTCATTTTGATGTGAAGCCATTGACTTCATTTAAAAAACAGCATTTCCGAGGTCTTCGCATCAGGAAAATCTCCAGGTGGGTAAGGTTAAAGAAAAAATGATTCATGACACTTGTTCAAGATGGTGCATTAGTCTGTTCTCACACTGCTATAAATATCCGAGACTGGGTAATTTATAAAAGAAAGAGATTTAATTGATTCACAGTTCTGCATGGCTGGGGAAGCCTCAGGAAACTTAAAATTATGGCAGAAGGGAATCAGACACATCCTTCACAAGGTGGAAGGAGAGAGAAATGCCAAGTGAAGGGGGAAGAGCCCCTTATAAAACTATCAGATCTTGTGAAAACTCATAATATATCATGGGAACAACATGGGGAGACCACCCCCATGATCCAGACACCTCCTACTAGTTCTCTCCCTAGACTCATGGGGATTATGGGGATTACAATTCAAGGTGAGATTTGGGTGGGGACACAGCCAAACCATATGAGATGGTAAGGCAGACTTTGTTCAGGGGGCCATGGTGATAGGTAGAGGGGCACTGCAGGGCCATGCAGTGGGGAAGAGATTGAACTCAACACCAACTTTAGCAAGGACTTATGGAGATTTATATTCAAGGAGCAGGGTGGAAAGCATGCATGGAAAATTCCTAAGAGGAAGCAACAAGGATAAGGCGGTTTCTGTCTGAACAGACCTAATAGGATTCCTGCTGAAGGTGGGCCAGGGTGATCAGATATCAAAGGTGGCCAACCAAGAGTAGGGGCTTTTCACTAGACTCACTTAGCAGGATTCCTGCTGACACTGGGTTCTGCAAGAACAGAGCGGGATGCTTAAAGTGGGGCCTACTCAAGCAGAAGACTCAGAGACGCCTGACTGGAGTTTGGTCAAAGGAGAGAGTTTTTCAGGCAGGAGGGAAGACTGTTGGCCAAGCATCCCTGACAACCACCTTTCCCTTGCTTTCACCTGCCTTTAGTACAGTGCTCCTTTTGAATAGCTGAGATAGACCAGAATTCTTCCTAAAAATTACTGAGTAGTGGAGAGGGCCAAAAATAACAAACAAGAATCACAAACTTCCAAAGTATCAAGTTGTGTACAAATGGTATCTACTGTGCCCCCAGCGTAGAGATAATACCCTGTTCCACTTTGTGGCTGAGGAATCCCTCTCCAAATCTCCAGAGATTCTCGGCAATAGCCTTCTGGGGAAATTAATAGATAATGACTGGGGTTGGTGGTCAGTCCTTCGATAAAATAGGCTTCAGATGCATTTTGGACTGCTTCAAATGTGCTTTCAACATATAATATATAGGAAACTAATGCTTATTAGAAAACAGGGCTGGGCACAGTGGCTCACACTTGAAATTCAAGCACACTGGAGGCTGAGATAGGATCCCTTGAGGCCAGGAGTTTGAGACCAGCCTGGAAAACATAGGTAGGCCTCGCCTCTACAAATAAAAAATATTTTAAACTAGCCAGGCATGGTTGTGCACACCTGTAGTCTCAGCTACTTGGGTGGCTGAGGCAGGAATTCAAAGCTGCAGTGAGCCATCATTGCACCACTGCACTCTAACCTGGGCATAGAGTGAGACCCCTTCTCTA